ATTCATATTTGAGTGAAATTAGGAAAGTGCTAATTTATCAATTCACACTGCAGGTCAGCTCATTGGAACTTACTGTCAACCCCAGAAGCGACTTCCTAAAGAAAAATCAAGCCTTCTTCTCCCTTTCTTCTTTCTTCTCTTTGGTTTATTCTGGGTAATTGTCCTCAGGAAACCAACCTACCAACTGTTGTGGCGTTTGATTCCTCTTTTGGTCCTGATGGTCTTCCTGCTCCTCTGTGATGTCTCCCTAAGCCTTCACCTTAGAGACTTAAGTTTTTTTCCCCTTGTCATCATTTCTGTTTCTTCTTTTTTCGGTAATGGGTGGGGCCAATCACTTGTTTGGATAGCAGGTATAAGTCTATTCCTCTGGCAATTCTCTTCCTCCATCTGCTTTAGTCTTTGTTTCAAAGAATAAACAACAACAACAACAACAAGCTAGCCAAGTGCTTTTGGCTCAAGCCTATAATCCTAGCTACTCTGGAGGGCAGGAGGGTGAGATCTGAGGATCATGGTTCAAAGCCAGCCTGGGCAGAAAAGTTTGTAAGACCTTTTGTTTTGTTTTTCCAGTCCTGAAGCCCGAACTAAGGGCTTAGGCACCGTCCCTGAGCTTCTTTTGCTCAAGGCTAGCACTCTACCACTTGAGCCACAGTTCTACTTGTGGTGTTTGTTTATATTGTGCTAAGGAATCCAAGAAACAAAGGCTTTGGGCATGTTAGGCTCTCTACCACTCAACCACATTCCCAGCCCCATGGGAGAATCTTTTTCTCCAATTAACCATCATAAAATCAGAAGTGGTGCTGTGGCTCAAAGTAGTAGAGCTAACTTTGAGCAAAAAAGCTCATGGTCAGTACCCAGACCCTGAATTCATGCCCTACAACTGACAAAAACAAGAACAGAAAAAGCAACAAAACCAACAAGTACATAAAATAGCATCCCTGGAGTTAGGCTAGTCTGGTAGAAAATTCCAGAAATATGCAGATTCCCATGTGAGCATACACTTGTACCCCAGCATCTCTCAAATCACCATGAAAGAATCTAATATTGGCAATACAAGATGGCAGGAGCCCATCTCCTTTTTTATTTTGCCAGTTGTGGGGCTTGAACTCTGGGCCTGGGTGCTGTTCCTCAGCTCTTCAGCTCAGGGCCAACACGGTACCACTTGAGCCACAGCACCACTTCTGGCTTTTTTCTGCTTATATGGTGCTGAGGAATTGAACCCAGGGCCTCATGCATGCAAGGTAAACAAGGTAAACACTCTACCACTGAGCCACCTTCCCAGCCCTAGCCCATCTCTTAATAACATTTAATTTTAGTGGTAGGAATTAAATCCAGAGCCTTCAGATGTACAGATTCTACCACTGGTTTACACCTCCACTCTCTAATTTTTATATTTTTATTTAGTGCCAGAATTGGACTTGAACTCAGGGCCTTCCTTCTTCACTTGTCTTTTTCCCTCAAGGAAACACACCTCCACTTGCAGCTTTTTGGTGGTTAATTGGAGACAAGAGTCTTATGGACTTTTCTGCCCAGGCTGGATTTGAACCACGATCCTCAGGTTACAGATTCCAGAGTAGGATTACAAGCATGAGCCATCACCAGTGCCTGGCTATGCTTTTTATTTTTTGAGACAGGATCTTGCTAAGTAGTTTAGGCTGACTTCAAACTCTAATCCTCCTGCCTCAACTTTCCCAGAACTGGGATTACAGATGTGTTTCACAGTGCTTGGCTACCTAAATTTTAGATACAAGCTTTCCTTTTTTTTTTATTTTTGCTGGTCCCTTAGCTTGAACTCTAGTCCTGAGTGTGTCCCTGAGCTGCTTTTTGCTCAGGGCCAGTGCTCTACCACTTGAGCCAGAGTCCCACTTTTAGCTTTAAAAAATTTTTTTTTGAATAGGTTATTGGAGATGAGAGTCTCCTGGACTTTCCTGCCTGGGCCAACTTTGAACCTAGATCCTTAGATCTCAGCCTCCTGAGTAGTTAGGATTTCAAGCTGATTTCAAGTGTGAGCCACCAGAGAGAGCCTGGCAAAAGCTTTATTTTCTTCACGTAGCAGAGGAAGTGTTTTGGTTTGATTGGGTGTGGAGTTCTTCCTTCTTCTTCTTCTTCTTAGGTGATCACTGATTTTCCTTTTGCTGGGGGCAGGTGGAGGTGGAGGGGGTGGGGGCAGAGGAAGCCTCCACAGGTGAGGACTGGGGCCTTCCCAGTGAGCCTCTCAGGTTTTCCTAAGCCTGGGAAGGTTTTCTCATGTAGGAAGCACCTGGGACTCTTTAGAATTGGTCTTGCAGCTTGTTTGTCCAGAGTTAAAGGCTCTTCCAGGTTGATTTTCTCCTGGATTTTCTGAAGAGAAAAATTAGAGGAAGTATATCTGCATCCATCCAGGCATGGTTTGCTAGGTTTTCCGACTACTTTCAGTGAAGTACGATCAATAAAGTGAAATCTTGTACAGAATATAAATTGCATGTGTTAGGCTGGCAGGGAAGTTGTTGATCTTCCTGCCTCAGCTTTCAGTCAGGGTGCTGGGATTACAGGCATGCTCTACTATGTTTTGTTGGTGCATATCAACATATTTATTTCATTTCCTTATGGGTTCCCTCAAACATTTTCTTACTGAACACCTCTTCTTCAAGGATACATTTTCTGTCTCCATACTTTAGTTTTGCCTATTTTACAATTTCCCATATATGGCATCCTATAATACATGTATTTGGTTTTTTTTTTTTTTTTCATCCAACATGAAGGTTTGATTTTCACTCTAGTGCTTATCAGTACCAATTAAAACTGAACCAAGATATCTCTAACAGCTGAAGAGTGTCAAAATGAGAACAACTGTGCCCAGTGGACTCCAGACCAGACGCTGATAAATTTTCCTTCCTACCCAGTATCTTTCCAGGGCCCGAAAGTTCCTCTACTAGCTCGGCCCAGATAGCCTCGGGCACCACCCAGATGGCCTCCGGGGCCGTCATCAGGTCGCTTCCCTGAACAGCTGCCCTGCTCCCATTAAAACTCAATGGGGAACTGGCCCCTGCGCTGATCAGAATTCAGATTCGTTTAATTCCACTCATCTAACTGCAAGACAACAGTGTGATGTTTTGCGGTTGGTTACAGATTTGCAGAGTCCTTAAAAAAAAAAAACACGCTAAAAGAAAAGATGGGGAAAACGGCAGATCCCAGGGACAGTGGAAATCGGGCCCTGAGCGCACTGCTAAGGATTGTGAATGAAGTCTTTTCTTTTTTAAATAAACGGAAGAGTCGCTCTCAGCTCCCAGCTTGGAAGGTTTCAAAGGTCGTCACACGGAGGCCCGGGGGCGTTCATCTCCCCAGCGGCCCGGAGCGGGGAGGGGGCTGCTGGGAGGGGGAGGGCGCACACAAAAGCGGGCCGTGTGGAGAGGGCTAATGTTTCCTGTTTGCCTGGAACCCCCTCCTCTGCCTCCCCTCCCCCTGCCCCCTCCCAGCATTCGGGCGGAAGTGAGTTTGCTCCTTTGGAGATTAAAAGGATTCCGAATTCCGATCAGTCCCTATAACCCGCGTTCGGAGAGAAGGAGGAGGAGGAAGAGGAGGAGGAAGAGGCGGTAAAGCGGAGAAAGACGGGGCACGCGTGCGTGCGCACGCAGCCCGAATTGAGGGAGTTGTGCAAAAACCCCGGGAGGCCAGGGCACTGCGAGAGCGGAGCTCGGTAGGCGCGGCGCGGCCAAGGCCACCCGCGTCCCGCTCGGCGACTCGATTCCGAAGGAAGATGACGCTGGCGGGCGCCGGTGGCGTCGGCCACGCGGCTCCCGAACTCGCCGCGCGGGGCCCTGGCCGGTTCCATTGATTCCAGCGCGCCTGGGAGGAGGCTCCGTCCCCAAGGCTCGGGATCGGAGGGGGGGACCAAGGCGAGGGCGAAATGGCCCGATGACAAAGGAAATGTGATCCCCCTTCCCTGCCAAGGTTTCAGAGAGGACGGACGTGAAGAGGAGGAGAGGAGGAGGGGCGCGGGGCGCGCGCGGAGCTCGGATAGCATTGCACGACGGCCCGCGCGGAGCGGGCAGCGGGTACATCTAATATCTTCCTGCCGATGAATAATTCAGGGAGGCCCGCGGGGACCTGCGGCCCCGCGCTGCAGCGCGGCTAACCCGGAGGGGAAGGAACGCACGAGAGACGCCCAGGCCCGGGATCAGCGCGGCGGGGAGGGGCGGGAAGGGGGGACACGAGGGCGCCGGCGCCGCGTGGAACGCGCGTGCGTGTTAGCGCCGGTTACCGCGGGCGGGCGGGCGCGCGGGAGACTCGAAGCGCGTGGGACGCGCGTGCGGCTGCAGCCCGGCTCGCACGAGGTGCAGCTGCGCGGGGGCCGACCGCCCTGAAGGGGAGGCTGCGCGGGGTCGGGTCCGTAACGCAAGGCCGGAGCGCGGCACACCGGGCCACCCAGGAGCCCCGGGCTGCCGCGTCATGCGGCGGGGCGGCTGGCGTCGCGCGGCCAGCACCAGCTTAGCGATTTGCTGCTCCCGCCTTTACGAGTTCGGGGCGCTTTTCCCCCAAGAAGAGACTAAATCCGTTTAGCGAAAAGCCCTGTAACACCAAATAACTCGTCGAACCAAATTCGTGCTCTCGCTGGGCGGGCCTGGATTCCACCGCGGACTGGCGATTTGGGGACTACTCTAGGCCGGTGCCTAGCGAAGCCCCAGCGGCTGCCGGGACTACACTGACCCCCCCGACTCCTGCTAGCCACGCGCGTGTCAGGGCTTGTTCCAGCGTTCCCGCTGGGGAAGGCACGCGGCGCCCACGTCCTCCGGGAGGAATCCGTGTCTCCCCTGGACAGTGGCATTTAATGCCCGCGGTGGTAGGGCTGGCAGGGCGCAGGCTGCACGCGGCGAAGCCGAGGGGAGCGCGGCGCCCCGGGGTCGGCTCCTGGATCGTTCGTCTAATCGATGCATTTTTCTAACTGAGCCGGCTCACCCCCCCCCCCCCCCACCCGCCCTCTCCTCCTCTTCCTCTCGGGTCTCCTCCCTCTTCTGGGCCGGCTTGCAAATGGCTTCGTTCCCCGAGACCGATTTCCAGATCTGCCTGCTGTGCAAGGAGATGTGCGGCTCGCCGGCGCCGCTCTCCTCCAATTCCTCCGCGTCTTCCTCGTCTTCGCAGACGTCCACGTCGTCCGGGGGCGGCGGCGGAGGCCCGGGGGTGGCGGCGCGCCGCCTGCACGTCCTGCCCTGCCTGCACGCCTTCTGCCGCCCCTGCCTCGAGGCGCACCGGCTGCCGGCAGCCGGCGGCAGCGCCCCGGGAGAACCGCTGAAACTGCGCTGCCCCGTGTGCGACCAGAAAGTCGTCCTCGCCGAGGCGGCGGGCATGGACGCGCTGCCTTCGTCCGCCTTCCTGCTCAGCAACCTGCTGGACGCCGTGGTGGCCACGGCCGACGAGCCGCCGCCCAAGAACGGGCGCGCCGGCGCCCCAGCGGTAGCGGGTGGCCACAGCAACCACCGGCACCACGCGCACCACGCGCACACGCGCGCGGCCGCCTCCGCGCCGCCTCTCCCGCCCGCGCCGCCGCCGCCTCCGCCCGCGCCTTCCCGCTCGGCTCCCGGCGGCCCAGCTGCCTCCCCGTCCGCTCTGATGTTGCGCCGGCCCCACGGCTGCAGCTCTTGCGACGAGGGCAACGCGGCTTCGTCGCGCTGCCTCGACTGTCAGGAACACCTGTGCGACAACTGCGTCCGCGCGCACCAGCGCGTGCGCCTCACCAAGGACCACTACATCGAGCGCGGCCCGCCGGGGCCCGCGGCCGCCGCCGCCGCTGCCGCCGCCGCCGCGGCGCAGCAGCTCGGGCTCGGGCCGCCCTTCTCCAGCTCGCCCTTCTCCATCCTCTCCGTGTTTCCCGAGCGCCTCGGCTTTTGCCAGCAGCACGACGACGAGGTGAGTTCACCGGCGGTTTCCGGGTGGATAGGTGTGTGTGTGGGGGGGGTGCGTGTGTGTGTGCGGGTGGCCGCGCGCGGGGGAGGGGCCCCCGGTGCCCAGCCGTGTTGTGTTGTATTTTATTTTCTCGGATTACGTGGCAGTCGTTGTTACCTGGTAGATCACGATCTAGCGATCTAGGAAGACCTGGCTTTTTAAAAATGTGCGTGCCGCCCTCGGAAGTCCCCCCGAGCGCGGCGGCCCCCCTCCTGACTGTCTTGGTTTTTCTCCCTGCGAGGTTTGGTTGTGCGGTGGGTTTGGGCAGGCGTGTGTTTGTGTGTAGCCTCCCTGTGGAGGCCCGTCTTCCCGGTGCTCTCTGCGAGGGCGCACGTTGGCTTCTCTTGTGTGTGTTTGTGAAATTGGATGGTTGCTTTGGAGTCGGGCGCGGGCGGGAAGCGGGAGCGCGCGTGGGTGAGAGGTTCAGCGGTGTAGATCTGCTGTCCACGTGCGCCCCGGCGGACGGGACAGATGTCTCTGCACTTTAGGAGGTGCGAGACACCCCAACGCTGAGTCTGTATCTGTTCCACAGTTGTGTGTGTGTGTGTGTGTGTGTGTGTGTGTGGGAAAGTCATGTTGTGGGTCCTCCCCACACCCAGCTCCCACGTGCAATCGTGTTGCGGGCCCACGGCGGTACCTCGATGTAGAATCCGAAGCGCCCAGTTCATCTGGGAATCTCTTGTAGTCGCCCGCCGCGCCCATCTCCAGTGGGAGCGGGTTTCCCCGCTTAGGAAGTGTCCCCTATCCTGCTCACCCATAGGCTCTGCATGGCTCGGAGAAAGTCCGGAGCAGCTGGTTTGGTCGTGCCTGGAATCTGAGGTCGGCACCACCACCGTTGGGCTTGATTTCTGCTTTTTGGATGTTGAACCACTTATTTTGGTAATTTACGGACCAGCACGCCCTATTCAGTTAGAACACCCACTCCGGGCCCGGAGGGATTTTTGAGAGCAGACTGTGCCGAATGGGGTGGCTGACTTAATCTACCTTAAACCTGTGTGATCGCCAAAAGCTTTGGAGGAAAGAGCAGAAATTGGCAGAGGATGGACGAATCCTGTTGGAAGGTGGGGCCGGCTGGTGCCCGGCACTGCTTAAAGTCTGGAACCCACGGCAGCCTCGTCCACTCCTAACCTGTTATTTCGGAGGGGAGGCTCAGCTAACGCCCTGATGGTCGTCTTAAGCCGACTTTTCCAATTGGGGGGGGGGGGAAGTTGCAGTTCTGATGTACTATGAACATCTTATATTTTCAAGATCTCTTTCGGGTATGCAGCTATATGAGCCTCAACTTCGTTTTCAACCCTTGAATTGGCGCCCACTTTCCCCACATTCGTGGGGAATGTTCCTTGTGCGTTCTTTTAGAAAATCCCTGGAGCAGAAAGATGGAGCCCGAGTCGGCTCCCTTGCCCTTTAGGTTGAAATGGAGGTGGGGGGAGGGGATGAGTGGGGAGAGCTCCCGGAACTGCCTGCTGGGAGGGGCACTGAGTTTAAGTGTCACTTTTTATTTATATTCCTGGTTAAAGATCCACTTATTTGGGCCAGAATTGGTGTTCTAGAATTGCTAGACTGGAGAGAAAGGTTTATTCACTTTTAGATGATAAAACCAATCCAACAGGGTTGGAAACTCTCCTCACCCTGTAAGGTACCCGGATGCCCTTAAAAGTCACTTTTTAACCTGGGTAGGGATCGGTTGTGGGTGTTTTAATAAGAAATCATTAAGATATAGTTATTAAAGCAAATGCCTCTCATCAACACAAAACGCGCTCGGTGTTGAGCAAGATTCGACTTACCTCGTTAGCTTTTCATTCAAACAAGAATGTTTGGAAATGGTTATGTCTTTATTCGATGTAAGACTGGAACCGTCGGGTTTCAAAGATGATAAACGAATGCTTCCAGTAGATGACTGAAATGTTAGAAAAAGCTTCACTGGTACTGTGATTCTCACAGGCTATCTATATAGTCTAGCCCTTTCCTTTGATGGAAGTGTTGTTAGCTGTTACAGAACATGGTCCCTTTAAAAAGCCATCCCTTTCTGGCCCGGAAGGAGCACGTGGGCACTTTGGAGGATGTCTTGGGCTTTTTACTCCATGCACACTTTATCTTAGTTCTTAAAACATGCTACTTCTGTGTCAGCAGATCCCATTACATCTTTTGGGGTGCCTTTTCCTTTGGGTGACCCTGTGCCACCTGACCTGGGAAGGAGGGCCCAAATGGCTGTCATTGCCTGGGGAAAGCAGCCTCATGGGGAGAAGGCTTTCCTTACACATCACTTTCCAGATAACTGGGCTGCTCTGTGAGATGGGTTTCCTTACACATCACTTTCCAGATAACTGGGCTGCTCTGTGAGATGGGTTTCCTTACACATCACTTTCCAGATAACTGGGCTGCTCTGTGAGATGGGTGTCTGAACCCTTATTTAAAACCCCACGGTCACTTGGAGCCCAGTTTGCAAGGGGAAGATGTGATTTGCTTGTTGCCACTTTATCTTTCCTTGTATTGGCTCGTTGGGGGCATCATTTGGGGATTTCATTGGCTCAGGCTGACACCCAGAATTTTGGGACCCTGCACTGCCCCTTCAGCTTTGATCAGGATCCTGAAGCTTGTGCTCAGGATCTCAGTTGCTGGGAAAGGCTCCGCTCCCACTGCTTAGTGTCTGTGTGACTCTCATATGAAATGCCCTTCAATATTTTTTTTCCTTTGGACCACATGGGGTGGAAGCAACACTGGGAACAAATCAATCTGTGTGTTCACTGTCTAAATCATGTAAACGGCAAAAAAGTCTAGCAGAGTTTGAACATGTCTAGGTCCCCAGGAAAGCTCCTCATTAGCAGCAGAGGTGGCTGTGGGGGTCTGCGAGGACATTCTTGCCATCTTGAGTCAAGGGAAGCATAGCTGGCTACACAAATGGTGGCCCCCCCCTCCCATGCAGGTCTGAGGGGGAGACTTTGCAGTCCCCTGGTCTTCAGTAAGTAGGCGAAAGCTGATATATGTGTATTCAGTCTTCAGTTAGGCTTTAAAATGCTTCTTAGAAAGAAAGGTCTAAGATTCTGCTCAAATTGACCCTAGTCCTCCCATCTACCCCTTTGAGCAAGGCAGTTTGCCTAATTTCTCCTCCATCCATCTCTAAAGTACTTGTATATAGATACTGTTGGTGGAATTTATAGTATGAAAATTGCTATGAAAATGAGGTTTCAACTGGAGCCCCATTTATTCATAGTTAAGTTTTATTTTTTATTTTTGTAAACCTAGGGGAAGAAAAGGAATAGAAATGGGTATTGTGCAGCCTCTGGTGTATGTATGTATCTCATCTATAGGCTGGGAAACTATACTTCGATACCTTAAAAAATAGAGCTTCTGCTTTGAATCTACTTGAACAAGTATGAAGTCTGTTAAACTAAAAATAAAATGCTTGCTGAGAACTAGTGGCCTTCACCTGTAATCTTAGCTACTCCGAAGGCTGAGATCTGAGGATCACTGTGCAAAAAGCCAGTTCGGGTAGGTAATTGGACCCTCTTATCTCCATTTAAACACCAGAAAACCAGAAGTTGAGCTGTGGCTCTCAGGGACAGTGCCCAGACGTGAGTCCAAACCCATGACCCATCAAAAAAAAGCTTGATGAAAAGTTATGGGAAGGCATAATTAGATTGAACTGAGTACTAACATTAAAGTGCAGAAAAGTAGATTTTATCCACATGAAACCCTTGGATTGGGCCCTGGCTAATTTGGCCAAGCTAGACTACTTCTGATGCTGCCTCACCATGAACTGTTGTTATCACGACTATTTGAAGACAAAACTGAACTGGTTTTTAGATGTGGACTAGGTATCTGTGAGATCTTAGTTTTCCAGTACTTGGAGTTTTTTGTTCTTTGGAGAATAGTGTACACATTTTGAGGAAGAAAATAGACACTTTAGATTTCCAGTCTTCCTTCAAAATGATTGTGACATCAGTAACATACTTTCAGAATTAAAAACAGTTGCATTTGAAGTAGATCTCGTTTCAAGATTCAGTGAAATAGCCTTTTTTCACCTCAGGCCTCTTCATTTTATTTTAATAAATGAATGTTTTGTTGGTCATGGGGCTTGAACTCAGGGCCTAGGCACTGTCCCTGAGCCTTCTCACTCAGCACTCTACCACTTGAGCTCCACTTCCGGTTTTCTGGTGGTTATTTGGAGATGAGTCTCAGACTTTTCTTGCCTGGGCTGGTTTTGAGCCATGATCCTCAAATCTCAGCCTCCTGAGTAGCAGGATAACAGACATGAACCACCACTACCCAGCTCCAATGTAAAGTTTTAAGCAGTTTACCTTTTGTTTTTTCATTTAAAAAAAGAATCTTTTTAACTGTGCATAGAAATGGCATTTGATGTTGTGGAAGTGAAATGGCTGAGATGATTTCACTGCTGAAGTGGTTTGTCAGGTTAAAAAGGGTTTATGATTTTTCCCTTACTGCATGATTCCATAGCTTTGTAATCTAATCTCTGGTGCTGAAAATCACATGTTTTGCTTCATCTTTTCCCATCCAGTTATTCACATAGGCCAAAGATTTATTTTAGCTGTATTGATTCTTAGCAAATAAGGGACCATTTTTAGTGAGGTTCTTCATGATGTGCAACAAGTTGAGATGAACCTTCCCCTGCAGGCAGTTTCATTATTTCCCCTCCATCCCCCATTCATCCTCACTAGAACAAGAGAGCTAAAAGGCCTGGCTCAGTAAGGCTGTTGCTATGAACTAGAGCAAGAGAAAGATGCTGTTAGAGAATTTACAGTAGCCTAAGAGCAACCTGGTACCATTCATTTTAGCTTACTTGGTAATTTACTTGGTTTTCCTGTTGGCCTTTTCTAGATTGTGGCTTGCTAAAAGAAGTTTGGTCTGTCTTTCCTCTTTTTTTTTTTTTCTTTCTGTTTTTATGTGGTGCTGAGGAATTGAACCCAGGGCCTCATTCATGTGAGACAAGCACTCTACCATTGAGC